CTATTGAGCTATGTAAAAATACACTATTCTTTCAATTCTTTTTCTTTCCTGTCGTTTTCTAATTCTATCAATCTGATTCAAATATGCGACATTTTCGGACGAAATCGGAAATAAACACGTAGTTGCTACCCGAAAGTCAAAAATCACATAATAATCTTGGAATAAAAAATGTTCCATATACTCAGCAGTATAACTGGATTTGAACACATGAAGTTATCATGTACTTTTGTCCATAACCTCCACAACTCTAATTTTGCACTGAGATTATTCATTTTAGACTACTGTTGAAGGAAATGTCAAATCGCTTATATTGTAAATATATGTTTTTATATCTTATTCAACCTTCTAATTATGAATCTTAATTCGATTTGTGTCCTTGCAAAGCTGTATTTTATTTATTTACGGATTCACAAAAAAAGTAATTCAGTTTGTAGAGAAGTCAACGCTCTATCTGATGAACTTGTCTTCAAAATCTTGACTCAAATTAAGTAGGCTTAGAAATTCCGAAGAAAAATACTGAATAGATTTTTGAAACTGACCAGAATTACTCTAGAAATGCATAGTTTTAGGATGGAAAGTATCTGTGGTAGAAGTGTCAGCTCAGTCGGATCATTTTTGCGAGAAAATCGTATTGTGAATGGATGGAAATAGAAGTTTTACAAAAAATAAAATTCATTCAAGGACATATCAGAAAATTTCGGGTAAAAATACCTTGATTTTCTTTTCCAATGTTCTATCAATCAGATACTGACTTTCTGAGTTTCAAAAGAGGGGACGAACACCATTAAATTTATTTTCTGATAGCGGTTCATACAATTTTCAATGAAAGTTACTGTAGAAACCTATGCTTTTTACGCTGGATGGCGATTCAGTCTCGAAGACTCATCATACGTACTATCGAGAGACGAAAATAAAAAAAAATTATAATGTAAATATACATTTCTATGAAAATACAAATATTACCTTTTGTTGTATTGAACGTCAATACAATACGCTTCCTTGAATTATTCTTTTGCTATCTATTTCACAAATAATATATATGACAAGAAGAAAATATTTTTTGTGCAGAGGTCTACAAGCGAACAAACACAACCACGTTCTTTTTCTTTCAGTTTGTGATGCAATGCTTTTTTGTCTCTTATTTCTTTGTTTTACGTTCTATGGTCTATATAAAAACCGATTGAATATATTGAAGGAAAGAAAAAAAATATTCTTCTTCATGTGTTTCTAGTTATAGAGATAGGTGTACAACACATAAATGAGGCGAGTCAGTTAATTACTCGCTTTCCTCATGTGATGTATGTTTAATATTTATCAATCGAAAACTATTAGGAAGAAGAAATATTTTTTCTTTCCTTCAATAGATGGGCGTGGCCAGTCGGACTGGTACAGCAGTTCTTGTTTTTTTTCCTGTAGTTTCAGTGATGTGCAGAAAAGTGTGATTTTTTTTACCGGTTATAGTATACATGTAATAGTAATGGTCTGATATTGTTTGAGCTCTATGTTTTGTTATGAATGAGAATTGTGAAGTATCTCCTTATAATCATATTATTAAAGATGCTTCGTACGAAATTTTTTCACTTATATCAATATTAATAAAAATTTGAAACCATATGAAGTATCAGCAACAAAGTTTTATTAGCTAGTATTTAGTTAGAAAGTATAGTTAACGTATGACGTTGTACGCTTACGAATCTTTTCGTATATTGGATAGTGTTTACAGAGAAACTATTGATGGCTTTCGTAAGATTACTAATACCGTACACGTTGCTTCTGTTCAATGTAATCTAAAGTCAACTAAATATCCTATTCAGATGCATACAACATCATATGTTAACTATACTTTCTAACTAAATACTTATTAATAAAACTTTGTTGCTGATACTTCATATGGTTTCAAATTTTTTAGTAAAATTGATGTAAGGGAAAAAATTTCATACGAAGTATTTTTAATAATATGATTATAAGGAGACACTTCACAACTCTCATTACCGATAAAAAATCACACTTTTCTGATACATTGCTAAAACTACAGAAAAAAAAAGAATTGGTGTGTCAATCCAATGAACCATGCCCGTATATAACTTGGTTTTATGTGCAGCACAGAATACAAAACGAAGAAGAAAGCGACAGAAAAGCATTGTATTAAAAGTAACAGGAAAAGAACATGACTGTGCTTGTTATTTAGAAATAGCACAACAAGTTTATCAATCTTTTCAACCGTTTACTGAATGCCAATTTGTATGAGTAGTCTCTGGTAGATCCTATCGAAAATACTAATATGAAATAATAGAAATGAACTATTATAGAAGTCATTTATTCTGAATTACTTTATAACTCATTCCTGTCATCTAGTGAAAGTTTTCTTATAAAAACAGAAATGACACTGCATCTTTCTTTTAATTCATATCGCAGCTCAAGACTCCTGACTCGTGGGAAAATACTTTGAGAAGGAGAAAGAAATCTAGTGCTCACTGACGAATAGCATAGTTGATATGCTCAGAGAAAAATAACTTTTACTGAATCCGTATTTTTTTAAATCCCCATATTTGACATAATTAATTCTGTTAGTTTAAAGACTATCATTTCCTATTTTACACATTTAAAATCATACTACTATCTGTCCAAAATATAATAGTCGTGAATATTTTTGTAATTTAACTCAAGAGCGAAAAGAGCTAGAAAGCTGCAATTTTCACTATTATGTAGACAATTGAGTGCCCTATCGATTTACTAATGGTGGTGTTCATTACCCACCTTTTGAAAGATTCGGGTGCAATTTCATTAAGCCTTATGATGACTTGTAGGTTTTCAATGCCAAAAAGATAGTTCAGAGGATTCGCTACAAAATGGCGAATGGTCGATCTCTCTAGCTATTATGATTCAAATATGGCACACATTTTCCTGAAGCCTATGCAAATGATTTTTCTCAACAGGATAACTTGCGAGTACATACCGTGAAACACGTTATTGATCATGGTTTCTTTTGCTGCAATTACTGTTCTGGATTTCTAAGGGTGTGGATGTGGTTGTGAGTCATGAAGAGAAGACCCAGATCCACAACCTAATAATATGATGATACAAAGTTGTTTAATGTTTGTATTCTATAAGATTTCGAAAGATTTCTAAGAATTTTGTCGTTCGATTGGAAGAGAACATTTAATGACATATCTTTCGAAGACAAGATCAATATTTTATTACACTTAGGGTTATCCAAAAGTAGTGCCGGAGGTACTTTTTTTTCTTATAAAAAGTTTGAAAAAATTTTATTTTTTTATGAACAGATAGAGCGCCTTTCGCTCTATTTTTCTATACTATTTGATCACTATTCAACTAATATCATAATAATAAAATTTCGATATAAGAACTATTTTTGTTGAAAACTAGCTGGTCGCATTTAGATCATAATGGGTGTGACATAAAAAATGGGACACTTTTGCATTTAATTTTTATCATCACTTAACACGTTGTATTAAAAAACAAAATATACCACAAGATCCAGTGTGAAGAACTCTACAATTTATAAATGTATTTTATAGTTGCACCTTTTGTTTTCGAAATGGACAAAATTCTGAGCTACCAAATTTTAACTTTGCGAAAACGAGATTGTGTTTTTGGTAAAAGACGAATTTGATTTTTCCTATCTCATCTTTTTATTACCTGATATGTTCTATTTTAAAAAACAAAATATACTACAAGATGCAGCATCAAAAGTTCTACAGTTTACAAAAAACAATTATAAAAAGATGAAATAGGAAAAATCGAATTCATCTTTTACCAAAAACACAATCTCATTTTCGCAACGTTAACATTTGGTAGCTCACAGTTTTGTCCGTTTCGAAAACAAAAAGTGCAACTATAAAATACCTTTATAAATTGTAGAGCTCTTCACACTGGATCTTGTGGTATATTTTGTTTTTTTAATACAACGTGTTAAGTGATGATAAAATGAAATGCAAAAGTGTCCCATTTTTTTATGTCACACCCATTATGATCTAAATGCGATCAGCTAGTTTTCAACAAAAACAGTTCTTATATCGAAATTTTATTATTATGATATTAGTTGAATAGTGATCAAATAGTATAGAAAAATAGAGCGAAAGGCGCTCTATCTATTCATAAAAAAATAAAATTTTTTCAAGCTTTTTATAAGAACAAAAAGTACCTCCGGCACTACTTTTCGATAACCCTAGGTACCCCTCCTGCTTTGTCTTCGTGCTGCCTCTGTCAACGCTGTATGATAGCACCTCTATTTTATTTTCTACTTTTACATGCCACTTTTCAAAAATAAACCAAAAACGCACTTCGATACAGAAAAATTTCTTCTATCTATTGATATTAGTGCTATATCAAAACATTTTTACTTTAATCACATTTGTCACACAGCGCCCCCACCCGCATGCTGTGTTGTGCGTGTAGAATACACCAATCAGTGCAAAGTGTGTCTACGACGTATATAGAACGTTGTCTAGCGCGCATTACTAATGCGTGCTTTTTATTACACAGAACGAAAAAAAGTGCTCCTTTGATCTCACATGGGGTTTCTGGGTACATTTCAATATTCTCTCCTTCTATCATTTTTCTTTTACTAAATGAATAAAACTTTATTTTTTATCTTTCTATATTGATTGTTTTTCTTCTCATACATTCTGCATGTCATTCGTGTATAGGTTTATTTTTTATAGTTATCAAGTAAGTATAGAATTTATTGATATAATCAGAAAATATTTCTAAATACGATTGAATCTTATCTTTTTACATAACTAATAGAACTGCGATTAGATTCATAATTTTCATTGGAAATTCAGGAAATTTGTAAGAAAAAAAATGGTGAAAAGAAAATAGTTATGCTCTTTACAATTTTTTTTTACCATTCTCAATGTTCTAAAGATTAATTAAAGAAAGTTCGAAATTTTTCTTGATGATTTCTATTGAAAATCATACTTCTAATATTGTTTATTCATTTATTAGATTTTATCAAATAAAACCATTTTTTCATCATGAAAAAATCTTTATCAAAAAAATCTACGGATATTAAGCGACGATTAACAATAGTGACAAGTGAATGTAAAGTTTGTGGAGCACCAGCTAAATATTCCAGTTATGGTGCTGTTGCATGTGATGCATGTAAAACGTTTTTCAAACGAAATGGTGAACACGCACAGGTCATTTGAAAATATTTATTCTCTTTTTATTACATTTCTTATTTTTTTGTTAGGAAGTATTGAAATGTGATTGGGATAGTCATTGTGAAGTAAATGTGAATAATCGTCATGTATGTTCTTATTGTCGACTTATGAAATGTTTTGCAAGTGGAATGCAAACTGGAATGATTCGAGGACCTTATTCAAAAAAGAGAGAAACACGTCAAAAAAGAAAAGAAATCGACGAACACATAGAAACACCATCAACAGCTTTGGTTCGATTGACTCAACCTGAACAGGTGAGATTATCTGATGATCATACTTAAGAACGTAATTGCTATTTGTATGAGTAAAATCTTACGATCGAGATCATTATTCATCTTAATCGATTATAGTCTTCTAGAAAATAATAAAACTTCAGTTAATTTCAAATTGAATGCCTTCGAAGGTTTTTCTTTTCAAGATTCTTCGAGAACCACTCAGCAAAAACTTCTACAACCCCTAAACTACATAGAATTTAATGAGCAGAATAACCGTCGTTATAAATACAGAATCCTTCAATGTTTTCCTTCTCAGAAAAGTTTAAAGTATTAGACCTTATAAAAATTGAGTGTAGGACAATTGGACGACGTCAATTGGTCACAATGCTCAAAAATGCGATTAAAAAGACATTTTTATTAGTTTCTCAAAGAAATAAATCAGAGAGATCCACAAAGTAATCATCTGTCTATCTAACGACAAGGAATATCAAATATGACTATAAATAAGAATAGTTCATAAATTCTTCTATTTGTGCATGAAGTGTTTACACCACATCAAATACTAGTTGCTTTAAAATCTTTGCATAACTCGTATAAATTTTCATTATATAGAGACTTTTATTTGGTACAATTTTCATTTTTTTGCGATTCATACAGTTTTTGTCTTCTCATGATACTTCAAAATATCTAATAGCCAAATGACAAAATACAATTGTCGTTTACTGATATAATTATCTACTTTTCGAATTCCTAGCAAACATCTTCATTTTTTTACATGCAAACCACCCGCTAAACTTCATCCACACTCTCACCCTCATATTGCGCTCTCCTATATGATTACATCATATGCTTGTAAATGGAAACTTTATAAAAAGCAAAATAGAACTAAGCTTCTGTTAAACATGCGACCGATTCTACATTGTGACTATTTGTCATAGTGCTCAATTGATGCTCTCCCTAAACATTTCATCAATGTTTTCTTTCTTGAAGAAGTTCATTTTTTATTTTTGTTAGGACTTAAATTCTTTCTATAACAATCAAGATCTAATTAGGATGAGGAAGTTTTTTTTTGTAAAAATATCGTTCTTCATGTAATAAAATAATGTATTTTTTCTAGTGCTATTAGTTTGATATTAACTGCTACAACCTGTACTAAGAATATTTTTCAAAGGAGAAAAAAATGACGTACTTCAATAAGTAAAAATCTATTGAAATAATCGTATATTCAAATCGCTTGAATTCCAGTCGAATGACATCTAAAAACTTGCTAGTGAGACAGAAAATATTTCCTCTAAAATTATCATTGTTATTTGTAATCAACTAGACATCTTTACTAGTTACATATTAATCATCTTGGTTCACAATTAACATAGTTTATACAAAGAAAAAGCAATATTTTAAACTATTAAAAAAATCTTCGTACGTTCATAGTGAATGTGCTTAAATAGTGTATGAAAGGAAGAAGAATTAATAGATTTATTGATTATTAACAAATCGTTGATTCTTTGTTTTTTTTTAGTTTCCAACTTTAAACCTATTACAATCGGATCAATCAACATTAACTGTTGAACAATGGAATCTTCTCTCAAATGTATCACATTGTTACGATGAATATAGTGGATTATCAATAGGTGAACATTATATGCTTGAACAAGATAAATTACCTCTTAAATTTCGTTTTAAAACTACATCTATAATAGAATTATACCAAAAAATATTCGATGGTGCTCCATTATTATATACAAATAATCGAGATTTTCTTTCTTTATCTGTAAATGATCGTTCTACTTTACTTAGTGGTGCAGTATCATATGCAACAAATCTTTCTGGGATGTGTATCGTACGTAAAATTGGATTAACGAATTATCCTGCTTATTTTGATGCTGTTGGGATAATCACTCATCCAAATATAATATCATCTGTTCGATATTTAGCTTATCATTTTAAATTTGACATTATTATTATGAAATTATTTCTTGTCATACTTTCTTTTTCAACATTGAAGCATACAGTTTATTCACATATTCCTTCAGAAAATTTATCAGATATTAAACAAATTCTACATATTCAAGATACATATATTGAAGTAGCATGGAAATATCTACTCTACAAATATAATCATGAACAAGTTGTTAAATGTTTTTCTAATTTCATAAGATGTACTTTTGTTGTTCATGATGCTATAGTTACAGCACAAGATGTTCAATGGTATACAAATGCAATTGATTCTATTATTCAACAGACCGAACAGACACTTACTCTTGATGAATAAATGTTCTCATTTTCTGTTGTATCAACTGTATTTGTATAATGTTGAGTGTTGATGTTTTTTGTTTTTTTTTTCTGTAAATACTACAAAGTATTTATTATCAAACATTAAATGTCTCGGTTAATATGATTCGTTATCGAATGGTAGCAGATTTATTGTTGTGTGTCACACAGTATCAAAAGTAAGTATTCAGTAAAGAATGTTGGTCTGTGGACATGATTTTTGATGTATTGTCTATGCTTGTTTTGGATGAATCGATTACTGATAATGAATTATTTGTTCAGACTAATTATTGAAACTTAAAATTTCATATGAAGGTTTTTATTTTTCTCGAAAGAATAACAATTTTTTATTTTATTTTTAAATCAAAATTATCTTTTTCTTTTTTTTATTAACATGATTTCGTTAATTTTTCTTTCAACAATTTAGAAATTCTTTCAAAAATAATTTTTGGAATTTTATTGATTTTATTCATGTCAATAACATTCTGATTTTTCTGAATAAGATGAAATAATTGATCATTAGTTTTTTTATGAAAAATTCCGGAAAATAAATAACTATTTTGCATTTGAATGTTTTTCAAATAAACTTTTTCTATATTTTCCCATATAAATTATCCTTATTTTCTTGATAAGTACTAAAAATTGAATCTTTTAAACATGTATAGGGTACATTCATAAGGCTGTCCGGTAATAATTTTTTTCCAGGACATAATATAAATTTGGCTAAAGAAAATGAAATGACGTGATTCCATTTCAATCGTGTTTTACTCTTTGACAGGGGCGACGCGATCGGGGAAGGTGATGGAAGATCGACCCCCCCCCCCCCCTCCCTTCGAAGGATTTTTATTAAGGCTTCTCCGGATTTTAAACTTTGATGGGTTCATTTTCCTAAGTTTGGCGACTTTACTAAGGAACTTTCCACGATTTTTGAGAAAATAATTTTGTACACAATTGGAGAAAATTGTCTACTGACGCGTCCATTAGAATAAAATTTCTTCTGCGACAATAATCTCATTACTTGAATAACTATAAAATTGCGGTGCTATGTAGCATATTTGACGATTATTTACAACTGAAAACTTGTCTGAGCACTTGGACAGAATTTACGCTGATAATTGTTTTCTCGATTCCTTACTACATCGACCGGTCATCCACGTTCCAAATGCAAGTATAGCAAGTTTACTTGCATCTTCTGTGAGCATTCTGGACATATGGGATGTGGTAGTGCATTATGAAGAGAAGACTCAGACCCACACTCACAGCTTAATAATACGATGATAGATACTTGTTTAAAGTTTGTACTCTATAAGATTTCGAAAGACTTCTAAGAATTTTGTCGTTCGATTGGAAGAGAACATTTAATGACATATCTTTCGAAGACAAGATCAATATTTTATTATATTTCTGAAAAGAGTTACACGTGCAGAACAAAAAAAACCTGTGCAAAACTTTTACAATTAGCATCGCAAGAATTCAATAATGTTTTTGCCTCTAATTAACTATGAAACTTGAGTTTATTACATAAAACAGTTGAATAGTTAATTAAACTAATATTTTAGGAACAATGTAATCGAAAATGGGTTAACCATGAATCATGTATTGCATACTTCATTGTTAGAAATCGAATTATTTCTTTTCCTATTTATATCTGTTTTCAATTTCTTTGGATAATTTACGAAAAACTATATTTCACACATAAGAATGTCCTAGTTATAAATTTAAGATTATTAGAATAATTTGCAACAGTTGTTTTTAATTGTCCTCGTGTATAAACACAATGTCTTTTAACTCCTTCATTACTTTTGATGATGCAGCTCTTGCCGGCAATTCAATATATCTTTCACGTTGATATGTATGTTTTTCTTCACTAAATCTGATTCCTTCAACTTGCTGCTGAATTTGGGCTCCTGTAATCGATAATTTATAGAGAGTAGTAACCAATTTAAAAACTTCATCAGGCTTTAGAACATCTTTCATATCTCCAGATTGTTTTTGCTCTTTCAATGTTTTTTTCAATAGTTCCATATTCTCTGTAAATTCTTTCATCATATTTACTAGACCAGCAATAACATCGGCATTACTAGCTCCAGCATTCTGTTTCATCTGTTCTTCACGGATAAAGTATTGAAGATATTCCAAAATATCATCATTTGTTGCCACAATAGCATTTGCATGAAGAAATATTGCTACTTTTTTATAGACTTCTTGAATTTTTAATGCTTCTCCTCGTAAATCACTAATACGTTGATCAATGTCATTCAAAGTCATAACAACACGTTTTGTTTTATGTTCATAAGTGATATGCTTATGTTGCAACCAGTGACATCCACATACTTCACAGTCACCTAAATAAACAAAATAGAAATCACATTAAAAAATGATGAAAAAATTTTCACATTAATCAAAATAAAAACTCGTATTTATATCAGACGACTCCATCATATTTATTTCCTGAACATACTTCTTGAAGACTAGAAGAAACGAATTCCATGATGCATCTATTTAGAGTTGTAGGTTATATTACTTAATACAACAAGACAGAAAAAACAGAGAATTTTTGCTTCTTCTTTTTCATTTCGTTGAATAATGACAACTACAGATTTCTAACTTGTTCCTATCGAAAGATAACCCCAAAAGCAATAGTTTGTCCTTTTGTTTCTGTGTCTATGATAGATTTAACGATGATATTGATTGTCAAAATTCTATTCGATACGTAGAACTTGATAGCATATTAAAATGAGGAATTACAACAATGATCTCAAGGTTCGGATATCTGAAAAAATTGAACGAATGATCATCGTAAGATACTAATTCTCTCTTTTTTTAATCATTCATAAGAAAATCTTGTCTTCTTCTCTAACACGAGAGTATGTTGAATGTCATGTGAGAATAAAAACTGATTTTCTCTATGAAACATTATGTTATTCTTCAAAAACCTTTTACGTGTGGTACTTGAAAAATACATATTTTATTGAACTTTATTCGAAAAAAAAATAGTATCTAACACAAAATCTAATTTTCTTAAACGTATTAGTTGACAATAATAATAAATGAGAATACAATAAATTTTAGACCTTCAGAAAAATAGATATCACAAATGAAATTAAAGACTTGTGATTACAAAGTAAATAATTGATTTGATGAAGAATTCTTATTTATATGTGCAAAATGTAATGAAGTAAAGCTCTATTTCGCAATAAAAGATTTAATTAGAATGGCTTTACTGAAAAACAAAAAAATTTTTAGAATGCAATATATGATGTGATGAATGTTAGAGCTCCAAAAGTATTTAAATTTTCCAACTGCAAATCCTAAACACCATACGTATTTCGATATGTCACATAGGAAGTCAATAAGTATAAGATATTTCCAGTTTCACCCTTTTCATTATGATATAAATTAGAGAAAGCACAAATAACATCATAATGACATGCCAATTTTGTAATTTTATGAAACATATGTTTACATATGCAGTATATGAAATTCACACGACTAAATGCTTCATTTCTATTATCTTACAGCCAAATTCTTGAATAACATCTGTTCTAATATTTTATACGTTATGGGAACCGAGCAGCAGCGCCCCTATAAAAATTCTCTTGGCCATCCTTCATGTAGTATATGTTTCTACCTTCGAAAATATATATTCGTCTTCTTACAGTTCTCAACTCGTATCTCTTGAAGAGAAAGTCTTGATAAAACAGTACTCTATCTACTCGTGCTCTTTATCGCAATGTGTCATGTCTTCGCTTGGTCTGTTGTTGTTTTTTTGGCTAGTAGTGAAACAGTAAACAATAAATAACTGTTTTCCTCTCAAACTATTGCACGGCACACTATCTATCTTAGTTCTGAAAGATATTAACGATAACTTATTTTCGTACCATATATATTGATCGAGAAAAAGTTTTGAACCATTAATTTATTGTATCCTAGTTAGAAATTGTGTTCTTACTCAATTGATTCTATTCTATCCTGTAAGGTAGGGTGTGGATAAACCTACATACATGCACTAGACGTGCATTTAGATTATCTATTTTCTTTTTCTTATTGATTTTTGAAATGCATTGAGAAAATAAATATTGAAAGAACAAGACTTCGAACTTTTCACCTGATCTGGGATCCATTGCTGTACAATCTTGCAATTTCTCATCATATAATGTTTCTTGTTTGACACCTTTCAAATAACATTCTTCATGACATATACATATATATTCAATTTGTTTTTCATTGTTCACATCAATCATTTGACAACAATTTTCACCGACACATACTGTTCGTGGATGCTTTAGTCGAGTAACTACAGCAACATTCTGAGGTATTCCTTGTGATGTAAGTTCAGGATTCTCCAACACTTTCTGTTTATGATCTTTAGCAAGTTGAATATTTTGTTCGATAAGTTTTGATGTTTCAGCAATTGGACGTGGAAGCATTCGAACAAGTTGTTCAGCTTCATTCAATGAAAGAATACTAGATACAGCCTTAAATGGACGTGTAACCAGATAACTCATAAGACGACAATACTCTTGGACTGAATGATCCCAACTTCTAATATAACTTTGTGTTTGTAGTTCATCCAAGGTGATACCATTTTTACGTAATGCTAGGTAACGAAATGGTTCATTATCAAATAAAAACGTATTGTCCCTCGAAAATGGTATTTCAACACTGTGGTCTCTTTTATGTTCATTCAACATAGTTTGAATAAGTCTTGTTGTGCTACCTGGTGCAAAAAAAGTTGATCGTGCATTTGTAAAGATAAAAATGATATTATCCTTTGAATCAATAGGTAAATGTCGAAGAAGTTCATTGACACAGAATCGAAAAGGTATAGTCAAACGTTGTTCGTCTGGTTTCAGTAATATACATAATCCATTCAAATGTTTATATTGAGCAATATAAGATAATATTTCGGTAAAATTTTTTTTATCTTGTTCAAATCCTCTCGTATCACCGATGCCTGGCGTATCGATCATTCGTAGATTCCGATCACCAATTGGGAAAATAAAACTTCGACACTGTTGCGTACTTGATTCACCTGAGTGACTAAATTTTTCATGTTCGTCCTCCTCACCAATAGTGATTAGTGTCTCGTGAAACGACTCTGACGAAGTAAAAGAAAATGAAGAAGGAATAATGACTTGCATTTCATTGTCGACTGCTTGTAGAAGAGTATCACTAACAATGTAGTTCACAAAAGCATTAATAAATGTTGTTTTACCAACTCCTGTTTGTCCCAATAATAGTATGTTTATTTCTCGATCTTGAAGACAATTCGGATTTGGCTTTAAAGTAGATCCTTCTTGTTTTGAAACTTTCCTTGCCATTTTGGTTGGTAGCTAATAGATTATTTTAAAAAATACTAAAAATGAAAGAATTCTCATGAAGAATATTGTTCGAAATAATACAACTATATAGTTACAGACAAAAGATAAACATTCAGAGCAAGATGATATTTTTTTTTCTTCTGAAACGCATATCTCTGTAAAAAGAAGTACAAAGTTCGTCAAACCGTTGGCAAAGTTTTGTTTTTTCGCTTTCTGTTCTTCATAATCTATGTATGGATGCATGATAGAAGAAAGAGGGCATACATAAACAACACAACATTTTAACTTACTATCAATTCTCTCTGTCAGTTTTCTCGCATTATATGTCAACACATTTTCATTTAATTTTATTGCTAGCTAAAAAACATGACTATCAGACTCATCTAACGTCAATAAGAAGTTTAGTTTTTCGTTTGTTTTTATTTAAAAGAAAAACAGTTTCGTTATATTCTTTTCAAAATTTTTCTTTTGTAAAGCTGCTTTTAACTACCTACTCGTCATGTATTCTTTTGCAATAAAACACAAGAAAAAAATATATTCGACGGTAATAGTTATTGACATACTCTGGATACGACAAAAAAAATAATAAATTTTACAGACATGTAAAGAAATCCATGTGACAACTACCGTTGTTCTGTTAACGTCTTCATCACTGGGCAAACATCGAAGATGGAAGAACAAAAAAGTGTTTTTTTTCCAACTTACATTTTAAGATTTCATAAGCAATACATTTACGCAGATATTATATACAAACATCAATATGTGTCACACATTGTGTTAATTCATTTTTTTCAGCAAAAATACACTTAGGGTGTGGATGTAGGTGTTGGTTTGAATTTAGTTCTCTTGTAATCCAATACTCACATCCTACCCACCCTTGTAGGTCAAACTAATTCACCATCAAGTTAATCGATTTAGTGAAACTAAAATATAGATAAAATGAATTTTTTAATTAATTTAGATAATTCGATCAAAATTTTAAAAAAAGAAGAGAAAAAAAATGGTATATTGAGTCAAAGAGTTCATTAAATAAAATAGTTATAGTCCTGTTTTTGAGGTTGATTATTATTGTCATCATTTGGTCAACTTGTGTGTTTCAGAATGAAAACATGCTTTCTCAGGTTAAATCTAATGAGCATTTGTTTTTTATAATAATTCAGTTCCACTTTTATTTATTTATTTATTATCATTAGGTTTTAAAATAAAACAATAATCAACATGGTAACTGATTATATTTAACATTTATCTCAGTTCTGTTGCTCTGTCTTCTCTCTGTTTTCGCATGATTTGTATTTCATGTTTAAGCTTGCAATACAGACTCTGATGAATGTGTATATTTGAAAATTAATTTCTTATTTAAATTCAACAAAAGGCCTTTTGCTGGAAACCAAGAGTTGAGACTAGCAGATTGAACTTGTCTTGTCTTGAGGGTGTAGGTGTTAACATAAAGAATACTCATACTCACACCCTTACTGAATAGCGATATCGAGTTCTTTCAGAATCAATCTCAACGATTTCTGAAAGATGATGAAAAGACTGATTTTTATTTATATGCTTTTTCCAACTAGAGCTCACACGATACATTTGATGAAAATACTTACAGTAAATAACTGTCTATCGATTGTGATACGCTCAACCGATCGATTGTATTAGATCTGATGATAAATCATGTTTCACCGTGTTCTGCAGCATTGTGGGCAAAGAGAAAACATTGAACGAACCGGTAACAGAAGCTTGCCCATTTCCCATTAAGCTTAAAAACACTCGCTTGGTATATTTAGGTACGCGAAGATAAAACATGGCGTATCCAGAGGGATAAAACGAATGAAGGTAATTGATTAAAGCCGAGTTAGTATTTGCTGGGTTCGACTCGAATATTGAGGCATATATAGGGTATTTAGGACAGTTAGATGTAAATACAATGACCGAATCATTTTTAGTGATGAGACCAATGCTAATAAACGAAGGAACTGAGGCAACAAGAGAGCCGATAAGTGGAGCAGAAACTATTAATTCAGTGAAGCTATTGAATTAAACAGCATAGACTAGACTTGGATGCGAGGCAATTGAGTTTAAGATGATGGTGTTACTTCCGATACCAACAATGATGATTGTCATGGTGTGTTCGTTCTCTAGCTAACGAATACGAGCTTCGGCAGAAGCATCTGGGGCAGTTGAAAGCACAACAGTCACTCGTGATACGATGCGACAACTTGATCAACATGATGCATTGGCAGCATTCAAAGCCGAGAGGAGATTTGACGAATCTGGTTGGGAGGATGTGTATTGTTTTAGGCTCAAACTTGATTTGATCGTAGAAGCAGAGACCGTCAGGGTGGAGACAACTTATTCAATGACAGATGTAGTGCCATAGAAAAAAATCCGAATGAAGGGACTTGACCCTACTGGGATGAGTTCGGTGGCAATGTTGTTTAAGGCAATTTTCATTTGCCAAAATCGAAGTAGTGAAAGACGACTATTTATTTCATCGACAAGTAACCAAAGGTCGACAGTCTTACCATTCAGTGGATTGGTGTAGATCCTTGGCTGTATTGCATCGACTCGAACAGTTGGCGACAATGAGAAACACAAGGAAAAGCGAAAGTTATGATAGGTTGTGATATAATGAAATTCCAATGACACCTCAAAACGTTTTATATCAGATAAGTTCAGGTGAGCATCTCGTTTTTTCCCACTAAGAATCAAAAATATCTTCACTGGTTTGCGTCACTTATCGATTAGACTATAGTGTGCGTGTGGGTGAGAGGTTGAACGTGGGTCTTTTCTTCTCTGGCAACACATCATATTCATCACAATACACCTTCATTCTGAACATCGCCTATGAGCACGATTAGGTGGGCGTGGGTATAAGTGAAGAGCAGACTCACATCCACACCCTGTGGTAGATTTTGGTTTTTTAATAAAATCTATTTAGAGATTAAAGTATGCAATGCAAAGTGTAACCATTTATTATGGATCACCTGTTACAGAAGAATTGATATATTCAATAAAGTAGAACAGAAAAGTATAACCTCATATGATATTGATTTTCCATGTAAATTTCATGCCCAAAATAATTTTTATTTAACTTTGACCCTTCTGTCAGAATCATACAGAATATTATTGAAACTATGCAGCACGTAAAAAGATTAAAGAAAGATGACGTCTATCACTATCTTTCGGGTGTGGGTGTAGAGTGTGTGTTAGTATTTGGTTTACTCATACCCACACCTACTCTTATGGTTTCTCTACCTCATTCTCATCTCTACTTGAGAGTTTAATATCCAATAGGGTGGTTAAATTAAGTCAATATCATCACCATTATGAAGTACAAAAAAAACCGATCACTCTATGCTCAAGGTATCGTACGTTAACCGAAAATAATGAAGTTTACATTAAAAATAATATAATGACAGTAACGTTTTCTGTTATTTTCATCTTTTTCTTTATTATATAATAGTGAGATATGAATAAATATAGTAGTTTAAAAATCGAAACGTCAGCCACAAGTGTGGACTACCACGGCTCGCATTCTTTTAGTTTTATTTCAGCTCTAGGTGAACCGTTTTCATATAGTTTAATATCAATTATTTTAAATGCAGAATATGGTAGAATTAATACTTCTTTTTCATCTTGAAATAACGATATATGTTCAATATCTAATGCTGTTCTTTCATTACGTATTTCATACACACATATTGTACTTAAGCGATCATCTGTACCACTGTTGTCGCGAAGGAATCCTAATGCTACATCTTTTTGTTTTGATGTCGATGAAAATGTTTTAGTTAAAATACGTGTACCTCTTTTGTATTGTTTGAGATCATTATTAGTAATCATCATACCACGAAATGTTACTCCAGTATATGAAAATGTTTCCAATTTCGGATGGCGAGCAATGATTCCAATGTAATATGCTCGACTAACATTCTCTTTGGCAGTTAGATTTTCCAGGCGTAATTGTGCTAGATGAACATTGAGCGTAGAATAAAAACCAGTCTCAGCTGTATATGCTTGTAATAAATAAACGGGATCTTTTTCGTTTATTGCCATATCAAAATACTGTTTAATTGTATTGATACCATCAATATCTTGTAAGTCTTTTTCAAGATAATTTTTTTTAATATAAGCAATCAATCGATAAAACTGAGGATCTGTGCCGTATGTTTTCAATTTTTCCCAATACTCAGATGCTTGGAAATCTGCATCATTCGTAGAGAGAATCCACTCGATGGACGCGTCACTGACAAAACGAGTGCTATTCATACGACGATGAATCAATTGTTTTATTTTGTCAGTTTTAGCTTCGTCAAGCGGAGTACAATTATATTTATTTACTGTTGAATAACAAGCGCCTTTCTGTAATAACAGCTCAACAATCTTCTCATGTCCCTGATATGCAGCTACATGTAGTGCAGTAGAGCCATTTGGCTCCATTTGGTTAATTTCTTCCAGTGACATTGTTTGTAAATAATGTTCAACCAAACTGATATTGTTTTCTCGGCATGCATTATAGAAAGGACTAGTGACTGAAGTAGTGAATAATGGATCTGCAAAGAAATAAAGCCTTTTATAGTAACTGAGAAACAATAGGTAATTTCTGTAACCAAATACTATAAAATATATTCCTCATTCTATCTTCTTTATGTAAATATTTGAGTTTTAAGATACACCCTTTGTCGAAAGTTAGATATGAAAGTATTTGATTTTAATGTATCTAAGAACTTTTTACAAAAATCATTAAAGCCTTTTGTAGAAACATGTGAGAACCGTTTGAAAGATCTTGCTTTTCCTTATCCAAGAGTATGAATCATTGAAATCTGGCCTGAAAGCATCTCTCAAATGAATTGTTATTGAAAGTCTTGATCAGATGCGTATATTTAAGAAGTTTTGTAGTGCTCGTGCTTCCAGTTACACAATACTTTTCACAGAAGTGTATTTTGAAAAATGCTGACATTTCTGTCTTATTTGCTCCCTTGGAAAACGAACCTCTTGCTAGCCTCTCCCCGAGCTCAAAAAGCCGATTGAAGCTGACAGCATCGCAATCATGATCTTTTTGTGCAAGATTGGCTACGGACTCTCGAGAGTGTAGACTTCGAAGCTGCTTTTCATGATAGTAACTGTACATTGTGGAATAGTGCTCTGTCCATTCTTCGAACGTCACCAGGATTTACTTTCAATCCAATGTCAATTGACTATCAAACAATCAATGGTAGTGAAGTTGAACAAGAGCAGGAGAAATCAATTAAAAAGAGGTAAATGCAGCAATGGAGGTAGACAAGAAACATGAGCGAATTGAGATACAAGAAAAAGCAATAATCGAGTATGTCAAAATACAAAAGCATGAACTACCTTGACACTGTAAAAGGGTTATTTAGTAGCAGTATTTGCGCTTTTACGATTGAGAAGTCGTGATAAAAGATCTTCTCAACATGTTCTTTGCATAGACATCATAGGAGACCTTGGGTCTTCTACAATTGGATGAAGTTTAAAAGAGAAATTAAACAAGTGTTGGGAAATAAGTAGGACACGAAGCAAAGTTTTCGCTTAATTGGACAAAAAGATATGATTTTGACGATATTCCCTTAGAATTGTAGAAATTCTTATTTCTCAGTCTTGGGACAATACTCTTCACAAGATGAGGAAGAAAATTGTCGTTATCTTCCTCGCTAAAGAATATAATAAGATAGACGTCTCCAAATTCACACGTTCATATTCACCTTTCATCTTCTCTTTTGCAATAACAGCAGCGATCATTTCGAATGCAGGTGTCGAATAGGCTTTGCCACCGTTGTTGGACACCATCTCATTAATTTTGCCAAGGAGATTTTCTAGTGTTTTTTCCTTCTCAACTACAGATCCCTTATTATTTACTGCCACGTACCGTCGTCCACATCTATTAAGCAATTTATTTAGAGGAGTAGAAGGCTCAAACTTGCTAAGATAATCTTCAATACTAAAGTCCTCTTCAAGTGCGTCAAGCCTAGTAATAATGATAATGCAGTAATCGATTGCTCTTTGTCCGAAAATTTCTGTAACCAATTCAAAAGCTTGCTGGTACTCTTCGGTAAAACGTCGAGTGATATCAAGTACAACGAGAAAAGCATGCGGTCCAGGTACCACCATTTGATAGGCTTTTGCAATCTCCTTTTGTATTTGTTCATTATGTATGGTTGAGTCTACAAGACCTGGAGTATCGATAACAACCAATTTTGTGCCTCTGAATTGACGATAACCAATCGCACAGGTTTGTGTAATCGCTGTTGGAATCATAGTAGCTCGGAACTGTTTCTCGCCCAAGAGAGTATTGCCAAACGCACTCTTTCCTAAAATGATAAGGTAGTGTTATGGTTCTTTGCCAACTCGTTGTTGCTACACTTCTTACCAACGCCCGTCGGGCCGAGAAGAACCATACGAATCTCTTTAGTACTATTCGGAAAAATGTTAGCTTGCGCCATTATTTTCAAAATTTTATCAATTGGGAACAGATCGAGCTGCAAGAAATCTGTTAGCAAATATGTAACAAAAAAAGATCTGGATAAGAAACATAATTATGTTGACACTCACTGAGTCGATTGAAACAAGCAATCTGCACATGCATTCAAATCGCCATTGCATTGACGTTGCACTTCACATCGCCTTCAAACACAAACGACAGGTCGTGAGATGTCGCATGACATCAGCACATTGTAAAGGCTTGTATATATTCGGGACTCGGAAAGAATGAGCCATTTTTATTTTTGAGTTTTCTAACCGTAGTCATATTAGTTCTTTCTGATATTTCTTACTAAAAAATGCATTGTCCACACTTTACAAAATTGTATATTTTATTTAGCATGAAGAGTTTGTCTCATTTTTCGAGAGTCCATAGAATAGCTACAACAAATGGTTGTAACTTTATAAACTCCATTTTTGAACTGATTTCGTTGTCAGATCATTCCGCTTCTGAAATGTACGTTTGTTCCGCTTTAGCCGAAGTTCAATGTATGTCTTCATCTAAACTATTCAAATATAAAAGTATAAAATGATTAAATCCAATATCTTCGCGAGTCAATAATCTTTATATATATGTTTTATTCCTGGCACACTGGCCTAGGAATAATGAGTGGCAATCGCCTTTCCTAAAAAATTGTTGGAAGAGCAGTACAACTTTATTGTCCTATGAGATGATATTTTCTTAACGATCGTCTCATCTACTTAGGGTGGTCTAAACGTAGTGGCAGTGGCACTTTAATACCGTATAGTAAGTTTGAGGAATCTTGAGGATGGATGAGGGTGGGTAGTAAGAGTTAGAGGATGGGTGGGAGTGAGAGTGAGGACGATTACCTTCTCTTCATCTCTACTCACTCTTACTGGAGCCACCTCACTCCCCTCACCCACCTTCATCATCACTCTCACCTATCCGCCACCCTGATTCACGATCACCCAACCACCCTCACAACCTCATCCTCACCCACTCTGACCCTCGAGATAATGGTATCGGTGAGTATATGCTTTGCACCAATATCATTCATCGCAGTATCAATACGACAAATTTCTAATCTCATTCGAATACTGACAGCATTCCTCTTCTTAGGCGGACAATGACTGACAATTCGCGATGAGCTCATTGTAGAACAATCGATCATCTCAATTAGAAGTGAATCAGTGATTATGCCGTTTGAGGGTGTAGATGTGGGTGGATGTGGGTGTGGGTGTAGAGGAAAGGGATACTCACACTCACACCCACGCCCACACTGTGACTTCTGATTTTACAAATCTCTAATAGACTCGTTTGGACTTTGGGCTTTTTGCACTCTGAGGAACTTTTCCAGACTTCGAATCTTTTCTTTCATTTCCTATTACTGATCTTAGCTTTGGTCTCTTATTTTGTGTTTTCTTGCGAATGGTATTGAATTGACCAAATGGGTTCCTCTTTCTCTTTCCTTAGCGTGACATCGACTAGATCAAGTTCTATAAATACGAAACTCTTGAGAATAAATCTGAGAGTCTTGTGTCACATCTAAAATTGTTTTTGCACTTATGAATATACTCTGGCTTTTCACTACGAATGGCAGACGAAATTGTTCAAATCTGCTTTCAACGCTCTTAACTAGGAGTGTTACTTTATTTTTATTTTCTTTATAATAAAGAATAAAGATAAAGAAAATCTTTATATGTAAAAAATAAAAATAAAGAAATTAAAAAATCTTTATTCTTTATAAAATAAAGATAAAAGAAATCTTTATATTTATAAAATAAAGATAAATAAAATCTTTACTTTATAAAATATAGATAAAGAAAAAATTCTTTATCTTTATAAAATAAAAATAAAGTTTTTCTTTATTTTGAAAAACAAAGATAAAATAAAGAATAAAGAATTTTTTTCCTATCAAAACATTTTTTTTTTAATTTTGTTGAAGTACCTCACAAAAAATGATTATATTATACAATTAAATATAATATGCAATAACATTTTTTGCATATATCGTTTCATGAGTGGTCCTTATTTTTGACGATATGACATACGGAAGTGCTGATAGTGTTAAGAAAGGACACTAGTTAACATATTCTGTTCTTATACAGGGTATTTGCATATGTACCTATTACATGAAAAAAATATATCTCTATTCTTTATTTTAACTTTATTTTTACAAATAAAGATTATCTTTATCATTATTTTATAAATATAAAGATTTACTTTATCTTTATTTTATAAAAAATAAAGATTTCTTTATTTCTTCATCTTTATTTTTTAAAATAAAGATAATCTTTATTCTTTATAAAATAAAGATAAAGTAAACCTTTACCTTTATTTATAAAGTAAAGTAAAGTAACACCCCTAGTGTGGGTGTGGGTGTGGGTGTGGGTGTGGGTGTGGGGTGTGGGTGGGTGTGGGTGTGGGTGTGGGTGGGTATAGGTGGGCGGGTGGGAGTGTGAGTGTTCATTCTCCTCTCACGGCCACACCCCACTCACACCCACCCACATTCACATCCACACCCACACGCACGCTCCACCCACGTCCACACCACACACCGCACATCCACACTCTCAATTCTGCTGCACTATTATTGTGAACAGACCTTTATACCCTGTGTCTATACTGAAGAAGTGTGGGTGTATGTGTGTGAGTGCATAGAAGATCCAGTCTAACATCCACAACCACACTCACACCTATCCATCGAAGATATCGATTCTCAAATGTGTTTGTCATCAATACATCAACATCATCCTTGATATGAAAGGATTTATTGAACGCATAGATTGATTTTCGCATGAAGAACAAATAAGAGTGTTCATCAAGCCAATTAGTGATGTCAACGTTAACTATTGATACAGGTTTTTTCATAGCTGAAGTGCGATTTAACCTGATGAGGAATTTTCTTTCTAGTTTTGAATGAATCTAATAATCAAGTTTTCTGCCAAATAGATTAACTATTTTTTTTGTTTAATCTATACCTAAGATGGTGCTACGAAAACTT